TGAAGAAGGATAAGAAGAATAAAATCACTATAGACTTTGAATTTAAACCGGTTTACTCTCTCGCGTATTGGATGTGGATTTTTTTTTTGATGTACGCAGACATTCACAGACAGAAAAATATTTTTGATTCAAAGATTTCTTAAGAAATAAATTTTAATGACGAGTGCGATGTGAGATGTGAAATGTTGAAGAGTTTTTGAAATGTATTGCTAAGGATTCGTATTAAGTTCATCAATCAGGTTTATATTAAAATTAGACTTTTTAGGTTAGAAATTATTAGAACATAAATGTTTTTTCTTCAATTTTTTTTTTTGGTAGCTTTCACATAGAACGCCTTTAAACTCAATGAAATTTCATTTTAAATTTACGAGTGTTACACATGCTGATAATTTATTCCATCTCTTTGTGGCGATTAATAATTGTGGAATGTAATTAATAACAAATTTATAGTTAAATTCCAATCAATTTGCAATCATTCTTATTTACATTTAAAATTACCATCATAGACACACATGTATGACATAAATTTTTGCGTCAAATTCTTGCGGTATATCTATAAGATGAAAAGACATTTTTATGAACATCATCATCACGATCATTTTCAAAGATTTATGAAAAAGGCGGCACGAACCGAAAGAACAAGGAATATAATAAAATATATAAAAATAATATTCTTAGGAAAAGAAGAAGAAAAAAACAAAATCATAATAAAAAAGAGTTCAAAGGTTCTTTTCATTGTTTTCGCTCATCGTCTCAAGATTCTCATTTTTCCCACCGAAAAAGCAGCAACACGAAAAAAATAATAAAATAAATACATAGAGATGAAAATGATGATGATGATGGTGTCAGAAGCATTTCATTGGAATATGATAAATGTCGGCTAATTGCTAGGTTTAAGTGGCAGTATGAAGGTAATGACCATACGGGAAAGTTCTTATTCTTGACAATAGAAAAAAAAATTTCAAGGTGACAATAAAAATTAAATTAAACTTTTTCTTTCGTTCCAAGTGTCGTAGAAAGAAAGAAAAAAATTTCAAATTAAAAAAAAAGTTTTTCATTTGTCAATCACAGAACACGAAATGGAGACTCATAAGGAGGAACTTTGGATGGAATTTAATTAAAACATATTTGCGTGTGGTTCTGTCGGTCTCTCATGCTCCGTCTCTCTCACCTTCGTCTTGTGAATCTGATTGAAAAAGGCGAGGGTTTATTAAGGTACAAATCCCAATATGTGGGCTGTTGTAGCTGCTGTTTGTGCTTCTCTTGGAAAGATTGATTTTGTTTTCTATATTTTGTGATATAATTAAGCAGAAATTGATTGTGTGTATGTGCATGATCGCTGCGTGGTTTTTTATAATCGAAATGAAGGCACATACAGTCATCAAGTTATGTCTCAAGACTGGTTGCTGTAGTTTTAATTTCAAGAAATAAATGCTGAACTGTAAATTTCTGAAAAATATTTTTCTGCTGGTTTAAAAGACCTTACATCTGCGTCTAACTCTTGGCATAAAGGTAAATGGAGGTAAATTGGAAACCACTTGATTTCACCTTTCCATACGACAAAAGCCTGCAAGCCTTGAAGGAGCAAAACTTTTCAACAGAGCATACCCGAAAGATTTTTGCATAAACTGTAAATATGTGGTAAATGGCATGCAACGTAACATGTATGGAAAACTATATCGATAAGAGTGAATTAGTTTAGAGTTAAGAATTGTTTTCTTCTCTCCCCATTTTCTCTCACTTGCTCTACATGAAAATGAAGCAATTTTGAAGCGGCAGACATGCAATTTGAGGTATTTGAAAATGGCACGCTAAGGTTGTTGTTAATATAATGTATGTATGTGATGTAAGAATGAATTTATTATTTTCGTTTTACTTGGCTTTAGGAAAATTTCTTCCTCAATTGCTGCTTGTTTTCTTCAATTTGATTGGCAAAATTTTTTTTATATAAAAAATATCAAAGTCTAAGGTATATTAAAATTGCTAGCTCAAAAAGTAAGTACTAAGTCGTGGGCTGCTTAAAAGGAAGTAAGTGAGTAGTTTATAATTTTACAGAAACTTCAGCAAAAATAAAAGCAAAGAAAATTTTAAGTAATAATATTTCAGTTGTTTAAAATTTGTGGGACGAATCCGCAGTTATTATTCATTTGATGTGAAAAATCATCGATCGACGAAAACTATAGAACTTTTTACACGAAAATTTCCAGACAATTACTCTTGCACTTGCTTGTTTGTTAATTATTACTTATTTTAGTAATTACAATTTTTTAACATTTAAAATTTATAAAATGTAACAAAAATGAGTTATCAAGCATATAATCAAGTAAAAATGAACAGGAAGTTAAAAATTGGATCATTAACGACAAACATCTTCCTTCTTTACACTTCAAAAGCATAAATCAAAATGCTGCAATTTTCAGCTCAACACAAAAATTTATTTTATATTGTGCATGTTTATTCAACAGAAATTTCTTCAAATGGCAAAGCATTTAGTCATTGTAAAGGTCAGGTGCAAAGGTAATTTGCATCATTTTACCATTTTTTCTCCTCAGTCTTCTTCATCTCCGATAACAACTCTGACTGCTGTTTAGCATAAAATTGTAATAAAAATACTCTTATTTTGTATCCATAAATTATGCAATCGCCCTCTCTGCCTGTAATTCTTGCTATGTGAATTTATATACGTTACATTTTTCACTACATTATTATTATTATTCCTTTTATTAAAATTATATAGGGAATGAAAAATTAACACCTGTAGAATCGTAAGAGGTTATATACTCAACAGTACATGAAGTGGAAGAAGAATAAAACTTAACAAATGGATGGCGCGAAGATGCTAATGACAGACAATTCAAAATTAATATGAAAGGGAAGAATAATATTAAAGGATAACAAATTTGATTTCTATTGTCGATGCAATGTGATTCTCGCACAGAACAGCTGATTCTTTTTGAATATAATAGGGGTTAGTTATCTAAGCAGATTGTGTCCGCTTTTAAGACCATAAAAGATTATTAATTCTTTGATTGAAAGACTCAATTAAAAACATGTGTGAATTCTGCTTTAAAAATTTGATCAATATAATTTTGACTCCATTATGAGTCCTCATTAATTCATCTGTTCCAATTGACTGCATTTACATTCAATTAGAAGCTATTTTCGAAAGTGGCATGCTTTTGAAAATTATTGAAATTTTCTAAGAATATTGAATCTCTGATCTAATTTAAAAAGAATTTGATGCAATAAAATTCCAATTGAAAAAAGTTCTAATAGCTCCTACACAATAGATAGAATTCAATTAAGCTCTTTTTACAAACAATTTTAGGAATAAAGAAATTGAATGATTTTTAATAATGAATATCACAGCCTACACCATTGCAGGTTCAATCTTTAACACTTTAATTTTAATTTATTCTTTGTCGACATACAAATAAACTCATTTCTTTTCATTCTGTACTTTATGTTTTGTGCTAGTAATTAGCCCCGCATCATTATTTGAAATATCGTATAAATAGAACAGATGGAACTCCTTCACACCTTCATAATAATATAATATAACATAAAAGTGTGCATGCACGAAACACCTTTAGCCTCAGCTAATAGCTCTATATACACAAGACGGAATAAAAAAAAAATCATTATTTTTTTTTGTGTTATTGTTAAGCTATGTTCCTTAATGTTACAGTCAATTCTGTTTCTGATGTGAAATTTCACAACTTTTTGTCTATTAGTATTCTCCAGAAAAGAAAGATATTTTAAATATATTTCGTGGTTGTAATAAACAGACTTTATATTCCTCAAAAAAAAAGAACACAAATAATCAGGAAAGTAGAGTAGAAGGCACACTAAAGAAAACGAGTGGATAGAAGAGGCCACAAAATCGTTCATGCATGCAATTAACATTTTTTCTGTTAAAAATATTCTTTATTCAGATGCGACTTTTTAATGGTAAACGACCTCCATTTTGAACCACTAGCTCGCCACCTAAATGCGGCTCACAACTACCCGCGCTTTATTCTGTTTATAACTTGAACTGTATGGTTCATATCGCATGCATAATTATCTATTTTACTGTTTAGCGAAGCATTTAATTAACCAATTTTTTTTATGTGTTTCGTATTCGTCACCAAACTTAATTTTCAAGCGACGGTGCCACAACAACAATTTAGCTTATATTTGATATGCTTCTTGTATGGAAAGACGTGAGCAGTCCACAACATTTTTTGGGTGTTATAAATCGACTTCATTGTTTTAAAATTATTCAGTTTTTGGAATTGTTTTTTTGACCATAAAGATCTTGATTAAAAATTGTGGACATTATGGTCTTAACTTCTCATCAAGGCATTAATTTAAATAAGCTGCAGTTTGCTTAGTAATGCGTCTATAAATCAACCCTCATTATCGAAAACAATCATTCAAACTTGCTTTATTTCGTAGATAATTACCTTCACCGGACGCTCTTCTCAAAAAGGAAATAAAGTTTAATGAACTTACTTACATTTTTTGTCGCGCAATTTTATATTCTTTTATATATCGCATTCTCGTTCATATGTATACATAACTTAGTAGATATATAGGTATATAAATTTTAATTCGTTGAAATGGTAATGAGCATGAATGGCGATATTAAAATGAAGTTGAATTAATTAAAATGCAGTTGAGAAAATGCGACTTAAAAGGATCGATGCGCAAGCAAGTTAATTAAAGTTAAACACAATACATACTAAGCTGAAGTCGTGTCTTAAACATTTTTTTTATGTCACAGTAGAGCTAATTATTAAACAAGTTTTCGTATAAAATGTGAAAGATTTAATTATTCATTTTGCTGGTGACGACGAATGACGATGAATGGTAAATTAATGATTTCAATTAGTTGAACTTTTATGTGTACATTTATAGCTTGGGAATGGAATGTTTTTGGGTGTGGGAAGGACGTGAAATGTCTACTTATTGACATTTGCTTTTAACGTAAATTTCAGTAAATTTCTCTTACATACCTTTCTACTCAGTTGCTGAGCTTATCAAGTATAAAATGTTTTCAAATCTGTAATGAGAAATAGAAATGAAGAATATTAATTAGTAAATTAAATCAAGAAATTATTTGGTTATGAATAAACATAATAAGCAAATTTAATGGTCATAACTTTAATTAACCAGCGTAAGTGCAAAAATACAGAAGTTGAATGTCTTGATAATTAACCGGACTTGAATAAATTAATTATAAAAATAATCAGTTATGATTATTATTTAAGTGAAGGGACTTCATTTAACGCTAATGAGGTCCGCCGATGAATTTTTTTTATGTAAATGTGGCACCATAGGTTGCAAAATAATCATTTAAATTCTTGCGGTCCTATTTAATGTTTAATTAAACATTTAAATTTCACTGTCATTAATTGAGTTTCACCTTTAAAGGATGTTTAATTGAAATTAAATTTATTCACATGATGATTTATGTAGCATCGAGGAAGACTTTCATCGGATTTTGTTTTCAATTTCTCTTATTTTTAAGTTAAGCTGTTCACCAAATTGTTTGCTGTGTCTTTTTTGAAAGTGAAATTCAATTAATTTTTGCAGTAAATTTTCTTTAGAATTTTTCCCTCCTAAATCACAGGAAGTTTCATGATATAGCATGAAATATTTCGCAAAATCACATAAAAGAACATCAGATATAGAAAAGAGTAAATGAGAAGATTAATGATTCCAATTCAACCACAATAATCTCTTTATAATGACTTAAAAATGCTTAAACTGTAATTAAATCTAGAAGCAATCAATTGGAGCTTTTTTTTCTTTCTTTAATCATCATCATTAGCATTAAAGGCAGTCATTATCACTTCCGTATAGTTTCAATATGGTACTTTTGTGAAGCAATAACATTCTTAATAGATATTGAGAGCGTATAATGCTCAGTAGTTATTGAATCAAATCAAAGAAGTGGAGGAATCAGCAACAGCAAGAAAATGTTAGCAAAATAGTTCCATAATTAAGCCATTTATTCTACTAATCGCAAATTACGTACAGTTGAACTATTTTTTAACGAGAAATTCTTTTCCCACATGTTATATCTCACAAAAAAATGTGGAGAAGCTCATAGCACTGAAGAAATGTATTTTTTACCAACTCATCGTCCGAAATCGTTGAGAATCATCGCGCATTTTGCGATAATCAGATCCAATCGACGTTTTGGCTTGTTATCTCTCAATTCTTTTCATGTTTTTGCTGCTGTTGTTTTCTTTTTATTATTTCAATTTTCAATTTCTCATCTTTTGAATCTCATCCTCTTGGTTTTTATGTACCGTATTCTACAGCTCTCTTTTTTTCTGATTGCTCATGCCATACCATGCTTAAATCTAATGAATCATCATCATTCAATAAATCCCAGATGACTTTATAGAATGGGAAAAAAACACTGAGTAATGCTGGATGTATTGGAATATGTCAAATGAGAGAGAAAGAGATAGTTGTGATGAGCCTCGCAAAACAATAACAAACAAAACAAAATTCCAACATCTATCGATCTATCGTTAGTAACAAAACAGTTTCAGGTCAATCATCAATATTCGCCAATGCCTTTTTTGTCTGTCTGTCAGATTTGTGTTTATTTGAAAGTACACAAATAACAAATTATCCTTCTCATGAGTTCACAAATTGGCTTGCAGAAAGGAAAATTTACTTCAACATATACGGAAACTCATTGTACATGTGCGATTGTTGTTACGATTTACCATGAGGAAATGCCTCGGAAGAGGGAGAAAAAAAATTTCCAATTCAATTTTCAACAGCAACAAAAAACTATTATGTTCATTTTTTTGATTGATGAATGATTGAAAAATAATTAGAATTATGATTTGTAGAAAATTTCCTTTAAAATATATATGCATGCATAGCAATATGTGGAATTTGTTGATGGACGGTTCCTGATAAAGACTTGCCAGAATGATGGGTAGAAAATTTAAATTTATAGAAAATGGATATATCCATTTCAGGAAATTAAAAATATTTTAATGATAGGAACTAATTTTTGGAATGTATGCACATATCAATCAACTTTGCTTCAATGAAAAAAATTTCCTGTTTTCAATTATATTTCTTTAAACTTAAATTCATTTGAAAATATTAGACACGAGGACGACTTCCACTTAGAGACAACGAAAAAGCAAAAAAAAAAATGTGAATTTAAAACTCAACCACAAGATGAACAAAACATTTGAGAGTCATTGATGATGCATGTAAAGGCATTTCATTGTCCATTGTCCAAAATTCAGTTGTATTCATCATGATGATTTTTATTTATCAAGTTTCATCCCCAAACAGTCTCTTAAATGCAATGTAGAGAAGAATTTGTCAATGGACAATGATGATGATGCGAAAATTGAGAATAGTAAAGAAGAAAAAAAAAATTGAAATAACAAAAGGCAGAGAAAAAAAAATCCAAGTCATGTGAGTTGGGATACTCATGTATTTTGATACGAGTAACAAGAGAGAGAAATTAATTTTCTATGACATCATTAGCACTAATGAAGCATTTCAATTTTCTCCCTTTTCGAAAATTCTTGAATGTTTTGTAAATTTCCTATATCTTACTCTTCTTATTACTATTCATTTTTAAATCAATCGAGCAAACTAATTTTTAAGTTCCTCGTCATATATCTTAGCATCATCAACACCAACACTTGCTATATTCTCAAAAATGAACCTACACAATATGAAATAAATTAATTTTCAACTACACATATGCATATACAATCAGTCCGTACACACAATGGGATGTTTTGGAATGAGAATTGACAAAAAATTGTTTTATGAAAAGAGTTTAATTGCATTCATTGTGCTGAGCGAGCATCATCATCATAAAAAGTTGTGAAGTGATTTTCCTATGTACTCACAAAATATTAGTTACTCAGCAATCATCCTTCATAACAATTCCTTCTTTTCTAATTTGTGTCTATAATCTTTTCTATTTTGTGTATATACGTTTGGATTCTGAATAGAGTGAAATTTAATAATGGATTGTTGAGAAATCTTTACTGACACGAATATATATCTCTAAAGGAAACGAGCTTGTGAGAGAATGAAATAAAATTATCAATTGTCTAAGATGAATTGAGAGAAATCTATGGAATGGAGATGAAAATAGAATTGAGTTTACATAAAAAAAGGGATATCATTTAATTAAGACTATTATGTTCCAGTTTTTGTTCGGTTTTCTAACGCACTGTTGTGTGTCAATGATGGAATGCAATTAAGTATTTTGTAATTTCGATTTCTTTTGTTCAAAAATGTTAATTCTAAATAGTTTGGACGTTAATTTTATAACGTTTTTCAAAATATCAACTGTTCTTAAAAGTGTGGAGATAAGTCTTATTTCAAGAGTGGTGCTTCATGGTCCTAAACTACGCCATAGTAGCTTATAAGAAGGTAATTTAAAACACTAGTTGAAGCTAGTCTAATTAAGAATTTCTCAACCAAAAACATTACCACAAAACTCAACACTGCAACATATTTCATTCTCAATTAAAGATTCATTCAGAATCTAATCCATTCACCTTGTCATGGTGAATCTATACTTCTCTAAATCGTCATTCTCAACTTCATCAATCATTTAATTGTGAACACATAAAAGAACCCAATCAATTCATTAAATTCTGTTTCTCTATTGTAATTTAATTAAAAATCATTGATTGATTTTAAATCCCATTTAAAACAGTTCTCTTGATTCACATCACACCTCTACCATTTAGTTCCTTATTTTATTCTCATTCTCAATTAACCTTTCTGATTTTCCCTCAAACTCATCAACACTAAAAGCAGCATCAACAATGAAAATGAAGAGAAAGTGAGAAAGAGAGAAAATTTCTTCTTCTTTTTTCACTATTCGTCTCAATATGATTGCCATTTGGATGAAGTATTTCTATCATCTCACTCACTCCACAACATCTCGTCGACATTCCCAGACTCATTAAAAAACTTTTTGTGTCTCCGTAATGTCATGTGTCATCGTGTTTCCACTCAATCTTCTACTCATTATTGTCGATGTTTTTGTTGTTGCTTTTGCTACTAGCTTGCTGCTCAGATTGGGGGATGAGATAGAATGTGAAAACGAGGAACTGAAGGAGATGTTGAGAGTAAGGAATGAAATAACCAACAAATTGTCTCGTTGAATGTAAAGACGATTTTTTTGTCTGTATTATATTGAGCTTTTAATTCTTAAACATGTTCGCCCAGAAGTTACTTTACACCTCAAGCTACCAAACTGCAACCCCATTTTAATTTGTAAGTAAGAAAAACGCTAAAAAAATCGATTCACAATGAACCTTCAGCAATAGAAAGAAGGAAGAAGAAATAGAACAAGAATTTTCATCTAATGTGATTTTGTCGATAAAGGTAGAGGAACTTGGGAGTGAGGAAAAAAGGGGAGAAAGGCTTTACGTGTTGATTATCTGTTGGCATTAATGCAAGGGAGATAAAAAAAAGATTGCGGTAGACAAAGAGGAACTAAGTGGAGAAATGTGTGGAATCATTAAAATAGAATTTAAGTATGAAACAAAAATCCAATTAAGAATTTTCTTCTTTCAGCTCACACAATTCGAATTGAATTAAAAAGCGTTTATGTGTCGAGAGGCGCATAAATTTTCGGTAATTGCTTTAAACTTCTCCTCTTGCTTTCATGCTTGTCGATGGCATGCTGAGAAGTAAATTTATATTTATATACATATATCGTGTGGAATTATGGAATACTGCTGACATTCCAAGCTTTAAGCTTCTTGTGGCAGTTGTTGCTTCTGCTGCTGCTGTTAGAAGTGCATTTTAATTATCCAAATAGAATATTAGGAAGAGGATTATTAACATTTTTATAGATTTTGTTTCATTTATATCTTCGTGATACATTTTATGTGTAATTAAATTATGAATAAATTTGGTATTAAAATTTTAATGAGCTTAGTGTCGTGTATGTTGAAAAATGATCCTTTTACGAGAGTACAATTAATGATTATGCATCTTAATGTCATCTCCTCTCGAAATTAATTAAAAAGTCTCAAT